TTCGCGAGGATTTGAAATTTAGTTACTTCTGTTTTATCTGGAACTATTCTGAATCTGTTTATGTGAATGAAGTTTGATTATATGTGATTTTCTTGTAGAGTTAAGATTTTGAAGTTTATGTAAAAGCTTTATGGCGCGGATCAAGCCTCAAGCTCTTTTGCAACTAAGTAAAAAGAAGAAGGGACTGAATAGAATCAGCGTCACTACCATTCTAATTTACGCCCTAATTGTTATAGTCATGGCGTTTTTTCTTTACTCTTCCTACAGGCACTGGTCTAGGAGGTTTGTGAATTTATTCCCTTCTCCTTGCTGTTGTTTGCATTGCATTTGAACTTATAATGTAGTAATCTGGTCGCCATCTTTGGTTAATAAAATCTGAAATTGATTCACTTAGGAAATGGTGTATATGGATAATTAAATCACGTAAGATGGTTTTCATGAGCATATGGGGAAAAAATAGTGATGGTTTACATTTNATATGGGGAAAAAATAGTGATGGTTTCAATTTTGTAATCGTTCCTGTGATTTGTCTGATTAATTTTTCAAGTTAAACCGAAGTTTGTCTATAAACTCTATTAGTACAAATATTGCAGTCAAAGATTCTCTTTCTGAATGTTAACGTGTGGAGAAATATGCATGGAATGATAATTTTAAATACAGATTCTGATGCAAATGTACGTACATATACTAAGTTACGCAGAAATAGAAGTCTAGAAATAATCTTTGCGTTGGTTCATAACCCATGGATGCTTATTCCTGTGTAGGTCACAATTTCATATGAAGAATGCGTCATTGGGTGTAGAGGTAAGAATTGTTCCCCCAACAGTTTCTATAGTAATTCTCCTCCTCCTACTACATCACTTATTACATTATTATGCTATGCTCCCCTGGTTGTAATTAGGACCCTGACCTGTTGCTGCGAGTTTGCCTCATTGATTGCCTGTTGCTGCTAGGAATTGAGAGTCCTGCTCTATCACAGAGACGAATTAGGATAGATAAGGACAGCTATGAAGAGTAAATTGTAATGTGTTAGGAATTTTGCAGTAGAACTATAGAACGTAACAGAGAATGGTATGGTTTATTCAGCTGAAATGGAAGATAGAAATGCAATGATCCAAGGCATTCGAGAGGCCTGGACCTTTCTAACTATTCTCACTCTTTTCCTGACTGCCCTCTAATTCCCCTCCCATGTCACATTTATTGACAACTCCTGACTGACTCACTACCCTCCCCCCACAAGGATAACAGACTACTAACTGAAAGTAACAGACTGCCTCTGCCGCTAAGCTGACCCATGGTTACTCTGCTTCTTGGCTGCCTCGTTGTTAAGCACAACTTCCCTCTTATTTCTTCTTGCGTACGTGAACATAATCGGGAGTCTATCAAAGTTCGCTGTTATACAGCTGATTACAAAATTCTCAGATTTCTAATTTAGGTTCTCTTAATGATTGTTCATCCAATAATTCTGGATGCATTTCCTTTAAATATGATTTTCTTCCACACATGCTGTCTTCGGCAATGCATTTTCTATATATATCATCCTAACGAGTTTATCTTTTTCTACTCTACTGCAGCACGATAATATGTTTGGTGATTTAGAGAAGGCAGTTGCCATCCCCAAATATGCGGTAAGATTCTTGATATGCAGGTTATGCTACATGGCAGTTGATATGACTATGAATCACTATTTTGTTTATGAGAACCACGCATTTTACCAATTTTATAAACTTTAATTATGCTAAAGTCATTCTCTTCTTGTAGTAGCTTTGTCTGCTTGTATTTTTTAGTTAATGATAATATCACATTGAACTGTAAATGACTAAGTCTAGTATTATTATAGTTATTACTTAGTCGACCATCCTTTGTTTGCCTGAAAGTCAGTCAGTTCTTTTTTATCTGGTTGTTTTGGAAATATTTATTCTCAAGTTTTTCAATCGTCATCTTGGTTTTGCCCTTTTCTTTTTTGGGTAACTTAACACACACACACGTGTGTGTGTTTGTGCGTGTGTGTGTGCAGGTGATAAAAACCTCAAAAGGATCAATAACTGTTGAACTATACACTGAAGGTTCTCCTGAAGTTGTTGCAGAATTTATTGACTCAAG